CTTGTGCCTGGCACTGAGATGGAACTCGCACCCTGGGACATGACATTTCGCAATCCGGGCGACTGCTCTAACCAAGGACCTAATAGGACGATTGAATCTTTTAAGCACTTGTTACTTTTTCGCTACTTACGTATTTTCATCAATGTTCTGGCAATCTACCCAAACAACCGAAAGGAATATTTTTACAAATATTTATAATTTCGATAAAGATGTAAATTTGTTCTAATTATTATATTTGACCAATTTAAGATTCACATTATGATACTGAAAAATATTCTGAATGAAAAATGCTTAAAAATCCACTCTGAGATGGGCGAGTCCCATGACCCATTTTTCACCACCCTTAGTTATTACATTTTGAAAAGTCTTGTTTAAAAATTTATTCAATATTATTTATAATCGAGTAATTACTTCTACTCGACTATAGTTAAGAGTATTAATTTATTTAATAGCTATTATTCCGCGCGGGAGATATCCCCGCGTAAATGATAGGCTACGTCACCCTTGTATGTGCTAACTTCCCGTAGGTCTATTCAATACAATTAAACATTTCCTATTTGTAGTATTACCATTTTAAATTATTTTTTTTGTTTCCAAATATACCATCTGACTTTTTCCTGTTTCCAAGTAAACCTGATTTTGCGTTTAATATTATGTTGTTCGCAAAATCAGCGAAAACAAAAAAAAAGGAAATAAATTTATTAACTCAATTTAAAAAATATGAGCCACATTTACTGTTATCGGATTTACGGATTACCATTATTGAATTTTCAAGGTATTTAAAGGTTTAGCATTAAATAAAAACATTATATCATATCATTCATAAATTTTATAAAAAAGACAATGGAAATTTAGGAGAGAATCACGTTAATAATTTTTTTAACAAAGAAAAAAACATAAATAACGATAAACGGCTGCTATTAAAAGCATTATACGCGCATATTTAATGTACTAAAATGCTAAAAGGACTTTTTAACAGATTCAAGCTTTGTATAAAAAAAAATCGTCGTTTGAATTAAGTCACCATTCAAATGTTATGATTTATTTATTCGATGTAATAGAAGATTTTGGATGGTAACGTATAAATATTGGAAGCATTTTCGTAGGTTTAAGTAATGTCAGGATATAGTAGAATATTTTCAACGTAAAAGCAATAATGATGCTATTTTTTTTTCATGGGATTTTTAAACGTTTTAAATTAACTCATGTTTTACCTGTTAATTATTTTGTTGCCAATTTTTTTAATTATTTATTTCTAAAACTTTCAACTTATGACATCGACGAAATTTTCTTATTGGTATTTAATTTATTTTTAACTAATTTTATTTTAAATAATTCGAAAGTTTCGAGAGAACTAAAAAAATACATCGCAAACAGTTTCTTCTATCATAGTGCTATTAATACACAAGGTTTAGCGCCAGACTAAATTTACGCTAAATTTTCAATTTTAGTATTAGTCCAAATTCTTTTAATACAGCGAATAAGCAAATCTACTACTACCTTCTAGGAGAAAATATTACTCCCGTAGAATCTCGTACTAGGTTATCCTTTGCTAAGTATCTGTTTAATAATATGAATTTTGACTAATACTAAGTGCAACCTCAGCGTAAATTTACTCCAACACTAAACCTTGTTTATAAATAACACTGTAGAGTTTTAGTTACTAATAAATGTAGTAATAGTTATCGATCATGGTGCTTACAACAGCGCCAATATCAGAGATTCAATAAAAAAGGTACATGGCGGTAATCCCGTAACTATTATTCTAATGTTAATGACCATAAAATATTTATAAAATATATTGCTTCTTCATCTTACACACGCAAAAAGTTCTGAACAAGTTTTGTTGAAATTTGTGAATAATTCTAGGCCTGAATTAACATAGGTATTATATACCACTAACATTACTCTAGGGATAAATGTACTGACAAGTCAACGGTAAACCACGTGCGTGAAGCCACTCAGTTAAATTATTATACAGAAATCTAGTATGATAATTTGACTTGTTGTTATTGAGACTAGAATCTAATATTATAAATGTTGGTAAACGTATAAAATAACTCTGTCGGAAAAAGGGGATTCCTAATATCTTTATTTTCTCAACGCTATTGTAATGTAAGGGAATCCCGTTTGATTAGCATGGAATCGTAAATAATTCAGGCGCTAAGAAACGGATATCTTACGAGGGCTGTCCTCACGGGCTGGCCCCGAAAATAGATAATAAAATGTATTGAAATGGCTGTGGGCCGGCTTATCCGGTTGAAAGTCAATGAATATTTGATTTCAATTTTTTTTTTGCCAACGTCGCCGTGAAGTATTCGCGCCATACCTAATTTGATTTTCGCCATTCCGCCCGTTCGCCGGGGCAGTTTGCATTCATATTCAGTTTGAATACGCGTTTGGGTTGCCTCTCGCTCGAGTTTGATACAAATAAACAGCGGATATTTTTACATCTCTCGCTAGGATAACCCGACCCAACTGATTACGTTTCGGGATAATAACCGGTCGGCGGTATTAAGGGAGGCCTAAGGAATATTTATATTAGATTATTGCTTACAGTGCTATACGTATTATGTTTGAATCACATCGAAATCTTTCAGGGAAAATTAATACTTACCACAAAAGTAGGTAATATCGGAACATTGATGGAAGGATGCCATTTATGTTGAGCTTCAAAATTACCTCTGCTATGAAATTAATATTGACTATTTCACAATATTTATTATGTCGATCTGAATAGAGTTTATTTTTGTTTTAACAATTAATCATATCGCGAACTCTATACAGAGGCACAACAAAATATAACAAGGTAGCTATCACGGTTGGTAATTACGAGCTGAGGGATTTCAAAATATCATCCGAATGACGAGCATAGGCCACAAAAGTTGGAAGTGGCAGCCGGCGTGAGTAATTTACAATCTTATTCGGACAGGGGTGGAGTGTTTTTTCCTTGGCCACCGCGTAACAGAATTCGTTTTTGCGAACTTGCACAAAATGACGGCGCGACGATATTTCACCGAGCCTGTGAATATTTGGGTCAACCTGTTTTTGTGTAATGGGGATTACAAAAGCAAATTTAACATTATATCTGTTGTAACTGTTGCTGAACCTACGGTGGCAAAGATGACCCTCTTTCATACAATCTCCGTGGGTTTTAATTAAAATCTTACGTTGCGTAGAATTGGACTGATTACGTAGATATATAAACCTTTGGGGCGTATATTAATTCACTACCGTTTCACTATGAATCATGTACTTAGTAAATGTCGTAATGAAATAAAAAAGTAACTATTAGATAACATAACATACTTTGTAAAGTAGCTTATGTACTTTTATTGATTTTTTGGGTTCTGTACCCAAAGGGTAAAACGGGAACCCTATTACTAAGACTTCGTTGTCTGTCTGTCTGTCACCAAGCTGTATCTCATGAACCGTGAAAGTAAGACAGTTGAAATTTTCACAGATGATGTATTTTGTTGCTGCTATAAATACAAGAATAAAATAAATACTTAAATGGGCCCCTATATAAAAACGTATTTTTTGCATTTTTTAATAGATTATGGAACGAAAAAACTCTCTTGGCCGGATTTTAACTAAATACTACGTCGAAGGTAACTAATAATAAATAATTTTATGTTTACGATAAATTATACATTCACACATTTAACCTTTATTAGGAATATTAATATTAATCGCGTCATATAATTATGATCAACTTAAAACTGATATCAAATAAAAGCAATATATCATTGATAGTTTTGTTATCTATCCTACGCCTATATATTTTAATATATACTTAATATTATAAAGAGCAAAGGTTTGCTTGTTTGTTCGTATCGATTAGGCTGCGAAACCAATGGACCGATTTTAAAAAAGGTTGACATAGGTTATAATATACGCGTGCGAAGTCACAGGAGCTAGTAATCCCTTTATAAGAGCAAGATTTATAACGAAACTAAACTTTGCTAATAAGTATATAATATAGAATATTAGGGTGATTACAGTAGACCTTTACTCAATTTACAAATGTACACAATTCTTTATAGTAATTGTTTTGCTTGATTAAAGAAAATGGGAACTAAGTTACTATGAAACTGCACAAGAAACTCTTGTATATTTATTACACATTCGAGAAAAATCGAATTGCTCCAACACGGTTATTTTATTTGCTTCAGCTATTCCAAATTGAAAGTACGAGAATTACAAACGAACTTTCCCTTTCGCCCCGTACAAAATCTTCACGAGAAAATCCATATATTTTATTCGGGTGTCGATTTGTTATTTATTAGTCGGGAATAGTCGTAACACGAGGGTGGGAGCACAATACCGAAAACGGTGGACTTATTTAGTGCGATACCGCGTCGGAGGTCCGTTTCGCTTCAGTTCGCGCGAGACGCACAACGACCAGCTATGTTAGAACCACCACCCCTATGACTGTGCGTTGACAGATATATGAGTATATAGTTTGTGACATGTCTACGTCTCCTGGATAAGTTCCATCGAGGGTCGCGCTTGTGTTTATCCATTGCTAGTTAACCGGTGACGCGCGACTTTGTGGCGAATACGCTCGGAGAAATGAGGCGAGACGCTAACAAATATGATATGTTTCCGTAATATTCAAGTCTATGGAAACCTAGAAAATAAGGTGACACGACAAATTCATGTGTATGCGAAGTCAGAGGTGAATAAACTTCTATTATTTATGTTCTCTTGAAACAGTAAAATTTTAATCATAACATATTCATGATATTTTTATAGCAATTTCAATAATCATGACGCAATATTAATAGCCAATTTATTCTAAATTACCCAGTAACCTTTAATAAGAAACAGCACGCAATCAAAACGTTTACTAAAAGTTATGAACATACAATAGACTAACTCCACCAAAATATTACAATAATGTAACTTATTTGGGTCAATTTATAATTTATAGGCTAATAAAATATCGTTTTTGTTAACTACACGCGAAAAGCTCTGACTTATATGTTATAACTTACCTCTGTGCCTATTGGTTTGTTTGTCGAACATTAACATGGCGTCCTCGATCTGCAACAAGAAAAAGTCATAATTTATATTTCAAATCCCGAAAAGATAGGAGAGAATAGCGAAAAACAAGGGCCGTCATGCGCGATTTGAGCCCCGCCCTAGCAATAAAACACTCCGGCGCTGTAATAACGAATAAGCACCGAGTACAGAGTAAACCGCACGCTGCAAATAAACTTTGATAAGCGGGGGCGAGCAGGTAATAACGTATTCATAGAGAAATAAATGGAAAGTCGACGGTTAGGACACGAACAATACCACGCGACCGAGATGCGCCACCGCTTTGGCTGTTGCAAAACCGAATGTGTCCGCCGAGAAGTTTTTAAAAACGTGATAAATCTGAGTGGAATTGCAACGTAAATATTTATATGAGTGAAACAACGTGGGGGTTAATCACGAATTAAGTTTTCAGATACGTCATGCCGGTGGAATGACCGTGAGTTTGAAAAATGTGCGTTCGTATAAAAGCGGGCAACTGGAGTTCGGATGGCGGGGGCTCGGGGGCTTTGTCTCGACGCCGGGCTTTCCCCAGGGCACCATTACGCGGAAGGTCGGCGCGCACTCCTGATGATCGATGCCGAATACCCGTAACAGGTGACCTTTCGTTGAATTATTCGTACCCGTAGAAAACGTTTGTTTAGTGGTGATTTGTTTAAGTGGGAATTGGCGCGGTTTCGGTGGATCTCCCTTGCGCGGACCTTTTTTGTGATAAATGAAAGTGCGACAGTATTATATATTTATTATTTCTTTTGTATATTACAACGTTCAAATATATTTCAAGTACATATCCCATATAAGAACTGAATTATTCTGAATCCTAAAAACATTAGAATTTACATTAACATAAGCAGTACGTAAATCAATAAAAATATTTTGGTTACTCAAGTCACCGTGTACGTATAAACGGTATAGCGTGAATAACTCATAGTTTATACAAACTATAAGTACCAAAAGCTATATTCTTATAAGAAATATCTAAACGAGAAACTTCGGTGACTTACTTTCGCTCATACAAGAACTCAACGTGATCGCTTTCTATAATAGACAATTCAAAAGGATAATAAACAAGAAAATTCTTTGTAGCCGCAGCTAATAATTCATCGAATAACCGATAGTATATTGTCTGACCAAATCATGGAGGATATGTTCAGGAAAAAATGATTATGACAGATCTTGCGACATAGATTGTGACCTAATGCGGTATTGTTACGGACAATTTGTGGGCCTATCGTCATTACCTTCTTACGTATTGTCATAGAAGAGGGAGACAAGGACAGATATATCCGGGCACTCCCAAGGGTGAAATTATGTCAAAACTGAAGTCGGTTCACTGATCAATGTTGAACCACGACGGTGGTTTTGAGTGTAAGCCGCCGTGATCGCTAATATGACGTCTTGTTGGTTTTAAATCTTATAATTTGTTTTGTGTTTTAGGCAATGAATGATGTATCATGTCTTCAATAACATTGAGCTGGTAAGGAACTAATTATCACAAATCGGCACCAATTATCAAAATATAAAGATGTCCGAGTGCCAGCGCAAGAAAACACAGAAATCAGTCGATCTTTAATTGTAGGTAGCAATAGCTGTTTCACTTATGTTAACATGTGAAAGGTTTTCATATGTTTTAATCTAAAGAAATAAATTGCCGTTTCATTAGGAATTAATGTAGTTTTGAGTTCTAATTCAAAAGTTACATTAATATAGTTAATATATAATGTAGGGCCGCTGCGGTGTTCTGCTCATTTTTATTTAGGTTCAAAAATTTTAATTTATGTTAAAATAAGAATTATTATGACTATTATTATGTTTTATCAGGTTCTATTATCGGAGACTATAATATAATTTTGTCTATTCTTGTAATTATCTGACTGTATTACCGCGACTTCGTTCGCATTGTAGCCTATGTCACCCGCGTATGATTTAGCTTCTTGTAGTTGTAAGAATTTTTCAACAAAATACGAATAAAATACGAGTTCGAATTTTTCACAAATCCCCAACTTCTATAGTCAAAATAATGAAGCAGATATTCATAAAAAAAGTAAATAAAAGAGTTCAATGGCTGTCTTAAATCCGTCAAAGGTTCAATTTCAATTCAAAAAAGGGTTAAAATTAACGCAATAACCTCAAATGTAAAAAGTGACCCAACAAGTCCGTTTATGGACGCACAGAGGCGTGAGTGACCACTGTAATTCCCCTTTTAATATTCGGACGATGTGTGGCGCCCTCTTGTGGGATTGCCGGCAACTTTGCTAATTCCAAGCTGACCAGTATTTTTCACGAAAGTCGCCAAAATTGGAGACAGTGTGCGCTGCCAGGAATTTTTATAGTTGACTACGTATATATAGATATAGAAACGTATATTGTAAGAGAGAAGTAAGTTTTTATTATTCGCCGAAGTTATAGAATATAAGGCAAAAAGTTATTTGTCTTGTGTTATAAGGCTCCTGTCGTTGGTATTGTTTTCGATAGGAGTTCTATAGATCATTAATAATATTAATGTCGATTGAAGCACAAAAATATTAGATTTATTTAAATCAACTAGTATATTTAGCTTGCCGAAGGTGAAAAAAATAGGCATGATGCCTGGATTAAGAAGGAGAAATTCTATTCAGTCAGATCATAGTGAAGCTATTTATTATTTTACAAGAAATAGCTTGGCGACATGCATTATACTCGTATTTGTGTAGTGGGGGCATGCTACAACTATATAGAAAATGCACAAAAGCGTAACGTAATGTGATATTTTAAGTTAAAGTGTCACTGTGATTTATTGATAATACAAAAAATACGTGTTTAATACTCTCCAATAATCTACTCGACGGAGAGACAAAAATAGTCTTTATTGCTGTTAAAATTAGTCAAAACGTAACAAATGAACAGATAGAATTATATGTATTATCTGTATACGTTTTTACGTTCTGTCTATAAAATGTGTTACGCCTAAACGAATGAACCAAATTCAATGAAATTAGAATAGTTAGAGTGGAACTCGGGTAAGAACATGGTATAGTTTTTATGGCGAAAAAACCGGATTCCGGCGGAAAGCTAGTCTTAAATAGCTACAATAAGTGCAACAATTACATGTTTTTTCATTGGACATCAAAGTCCTTGCTAAATTTTCTTACTTGCAAAGCACTTAAGCATTCTTAAGTATTTCATTTAAGTGGAGACACTTTGCCCCTGGAGATACCTGTCGTCGTAATTCGCTACGTGTACGTACTCCCAGACAACCGTTTATTTTTTACTTAGTATCATAAAAATGCAACTTAGCGTTTTTAAATAGATGTATTATTTTAGCCGTTGTATTACTCTTTGTGTTATAAGATCCATTTGTGCAGTCTCTTAACTTTAAGTATTTAAATGATAAAATCAAAACAATGATGAAATTGAAAAATTGTTTAATACCAATAATGCTGGTTCATTTTTAGGAGAAGGTTAGCTTTATTATCATTTTATCGGATTTTTTTTTGTTTCCTTTAAACGAATGACATGCGCGAATCTTTCAATAGAATAGATTACCCAAAAAATGTTTAGTATTCGATAATACCCTTTTTTATAAAAAATATCGAAACTTAGTAACTTTATAAAAAAGATATACCTGCATATAAAAAAATATACTCGCCCTCATAATAAATTAGTTAATTATTACTTTCTTACTGGTTACTTTAAAGTATATTTGTAATGACTTTGATATTTTTTTTTTTCAACGCTTACAGGTGTCTTTAAAATAACACAGTAGCAGTTATGAATATAGCCCATATTGCCGATGCTCTTTTTAATTTTTGATAGTTTTTGTATACTTTTAAATTTTAAATAGTTTCGTTTGTATTATTATATGTCATAATAGAAAATATTGTGAACCCACGGTTTTTTGTTTTATATTCTCTTTAGCTCCCATATAGTACCTACAAACCTTTTTATATAAAAGATGTATGTATGTATCAGTTCCAAATAAAGTGTCATAATGTCAAATTAAAATTGAAGGATCGTGAAAACAACCAAACTATTCGAAGCTCTTTCACATGTTCCGCGTTGAACAATAAATTTTACCAGTAAATAATTTGTTGGATGATCTCGTAAAAGGTTCTTAATATAATTCGATCAATAAAAATAAAATTCAATTATACGTAAAGGTTTAGTAATTTTTCTATTTAGTTCTATATGTTTTATTAAAAAAAAGGGATTTTTTTGATATTACGGTAGATAAAGCATTCAAAGCATAATGTAGCTTGATAATGAGTATATAGTTTCATGAAGACAATATTCAAACTTCATTTAAAATTTTTAATGATATATTATTGTGATAAGTAATACCTTGTGTATGCGGTAAAAGCCATAACTAGCTAAACTATTTACTATATTTCAATTGTTACTGCTCTGACATAATATTTGTAACTCTAGTTCATTTAATGATTAACCAAAGTTAGTCGAAATCTGTTCGCGGACATAGTTGTTTTCTCATTTATAATTCACAAACTCCACGACTTAGTTTGCCACTCCGATGTCGTATCTTCGAAGAAACTGTAGTAAAGGAGATGATGCAAACCGATTTCCGTTTGGGACCGAAATATGGAAGAAGAAACTACAAATAATACTTGCTAGGTTTGATGAATAAAAAATACGTATTTCTGTTTATTTTTGTGTAATCAATAGATGACGACGAGTTGAAATGTGCTCATGTTACTCAAAAGTATAGTTTCTTTTGAGATCATCGATAAAATCTTTCGTCTTTGAATATAATAGAAATAACGTAATAATTCATTTAATTTTATTCATTAATAGTTTTGAAACTACACTCGCATTAATTCATCATCAATCATTCAAAACTACAAACTTCAGACGCATTAAACAGAAAGTTGATCCACGATTCATCATTTTTTGAACTTTTAGTCTAGGAACAATCTAGTTCCATAAAAGATACACAGTTAAATATTCATTTAATTTTCTACCCTTGACCATTCAATAATCCCAACTGCCAAAAGTTCCTGCTACAGTTCGCA